ACTTTCATCTGGGCTGCAGCCCACCTGAGTTCCGTGGGTCCCAACCTCTGCTCCCCTACATCAGTAATTCTTACAGATCTTCCTGAAAAATGCTGAACTGCTCTCATCCCTTTCTCCTTGTTGTTATCAAATTGTATCTTGTGTCTCTGTTTTCTCTGGAAAGGTCATAGGTGGAACAGCTGACAATCACATGAACTATATCCATTGGTTTAAACAAGAGACATCATGTTCACATCTATAAATCTTCCCAGATTACTCCAGTGGGTGCTACGCTTGAAAATTCATAGACTATTGCAGAACTTATTTCAAAAAAGCAGCGTTGTTCTATGGGCAACTATTTGTCATGGCAAGTTCACAAAGGGCCACATGAGTAAGCAGGATGTGCTGAACATCGGCATTGGCAGACGCTGGATGAGCACATGCTGTTCTCTCGATAGATTAGGAAGGAAGACAGAGGAGAGTGTAAATCAGGCCTCATTCTATAAGAAGGAGGAAGTGTTGTCTTCCATACCCAGGGTCTTCATTAGTATTTTTATGGCTTTTATGGCAATAAGCCCATAGGAAATAGAGGGCCCATGACCTCATTATGTCATTAAGGAGCTGCTCTTTATACTGGTCTTTTAGTTATGTGTCAGCAACTCCAAGTGAGATGTATGAAGCACAGTAATCTTTCATAGCATCTTTCCACATCTGTGTTTCTTCTGAAGACAAAGGGACTAGTATGGGGGGGATTCCTGAGACTCATAGCAGGGGATTTGTTCCTCAATCCACGTTTAGCAATGTGTGTGCTAGAAACTGGTTCTTCTTAGAAGGCTTACCCACCTAGGCTGTGTGAGGCTGTCCAAGGGCAGGCTCTGGAGTGCTGGGGCTCCGCGGTCACTTGCAGCAGTGGAGACTTCTTGTCCCAGTGCTGTACAAGTCTCATTTACCGCAGTTATGATGTACAAAGAATTGGAAGCCTCACTCTTTGTGACAGTGACCATTGTACGCCACTTACTCGTTCGGAATAGAAAGATTCTTTGGGAAGACTATTCTCTAACTAAACAATCAATGAGATCAAGAGATGAAGTAATTTATGACAGTTCTTCAGATGACATGCAGATGAGTAGCAAACGGAAGCAGAAAGACAAGTCCCTTTTGTTGTGGTAAATTTCAGGTAGTTGGTGGTAATTTAGGAGTGATTTTGGATGTTTTTCAGGCACTAACTTTATAAAAAGTACCCTCCAACAAGAAAACACTCTCACATTGCCGTGTTGATATCTTAGGTTCATTAAATCCTAGCAATCTTAGTATTTCTTATAATGGGTTGGTTGCATTCCTTGTTGTACATCATAAGACATTGGGGCTTTATTCATCTAGAAATAAAGTATTAAAACTCTGGATTTTGAAGAGTTTTTATTCTGAAAACATAAGAGACAGTTAATAAAAGTGGGAGAGATAACATTAAAGAGCTATTTTCTTAGGGCCATTGAAAATTTGTAGTACTTAGAAAATTCTCTGAAGCCTTCTCTGAAGCCTTTGAAGAAAGCATCTGTTTAGTGTGTTTGTCAGTAATGCTATTTGCAACACTTTAAAAAGTTTATTTATAATACCACATGCCAACAAATGTACTTAATTTTGCCTCGGATGTGAAGGAATCCATAGAAAATAAATGAAAGAGGGATATTGTCTTGAAAGGGGGCTCCTTTCATGTTTTCTGCAGCACTGGCTGCTTTTCCATGTCCCTTAATGCTAGCTGTTATACTGAGTTACAGAAGAAGTCTGTGGGGTTTCTTTAGATCTTTTTCCTGCATTATTTGTCATCTATTGTTCTAGAGCCAACACGGAGGCTCCTAAATCATGAATCCAAATTGCAGCTCCATGGATTTGGCCTCTTTCTGTATGTGCTTCCTGAACTGCTTTCTAAACAAAGGTCATTATCCATAACCTCTGCATATTTTTATTTTTTCTTTCTGAGTCCCTGTGATCTCTAATAGGCTTTCTTGTCCCTCTTTTGTTTTTACCTTTCAAAAACCATCTCTCTGTGCATTTTTTTCTGGAAGGAAAGCTATGAAAAGATACACAGATTCTATCTTCCAAACAACATGCAGTATTTTGCATTCATTATCTCATTATCTCTTCCATGGTTTGGTTTTAGAAAAGAAACACTAGAAAGCACAGAGCAAACGAGTTTAATTTTCTCAGCTCACGGGGACATAATAAGATGAACACTGAGGAAATGTATAGCTTAGTCCCTGCAAATCACAAAATATGCCAGTGTCGACTGAGATTCAAGCTCCATCAGAAACAGAAGTGGCCAGTGTTCAAGTGACAGCAGCAACATGGAGGTGTGTCGTTCTGGTTATTCAGCTAAGTGTGACATCAAATACTCACCATTTCAAAAAAAAATCCTAAGAAGGACTGTAATGTATTTAATGATGGAAAAGCTGTAGTCCCCACCCTGTAGGTGGTCACAAATTCTCTTTCTTTGTGTTTTAGGATCTTGCCAGGAACACGATGGGATTACTCACAATGAGGACTGGACAGTTTCATATTTTATAGTAGAGACAGTTCTGTCTGTGCATTCCATATAATTATCCAGTTGGCATCAGTGAAATCTCCCCATGAGAGTTTCATGGGCTGAGTTGTTGAATATAAACTATGTAAAAGAAATGACTCCTGTGAACAATACCTAAAACTTTGTGGTTGATGGAGAATGTTCTGTCTTATCCCTGTGTTTATTCTCTCTCTGATACTTATTTTAAAATAATTTTATTTTAAAAACAAGACCTTCATATTAATAGTTGTAATATAGAAGGATACTGAAATAAAGTAAAAGCTCTCTTTATTCTCTGATTCCTCATTTTCAAACCCCAGAGTTGACAAGTTTAGTATGTGCATGTACAGTGGACCCTTGACTTACCAACTTGATCAGTTCCCAAGGGCTGGTTGTGACCCAAGTGGGTTGAAGTCAATACAGCTAAGATCTGGATGTTTACCTGGGTACACGCTATGGATAACAAGAGACAGATGAATCTTCCATTAACCTAATTAACTCAAGTTTGTTCATATGTCAGGCTGGCCGCAACTTGAGGGTCCGGTGAATACCCTTGCCCCCAAAGTCTAAGCACTTTCAAGTATTTGCTTGGACATATATAGCATGTGTGTCCATGTGCAATTACACTGATCTGTCTGTTTTATAAATACAAACTCATCAATATTTCCACCCACTATGCTGTTCACTAAAACAGACTGGTCAAACGTTATACCAGTGGTGGCGAACCTATGCCAGGCATGCTGTAGCCGGCTATTTGTTATCATTGAAAGCTCCTAAAGGTTTGCCATCACTGGCCTATACACATAAAAATAAATCTCTGCTGGGATTAATCAGATGATCTCATGATGGAAGAAGCATTTGGGAGGTTGGTCAACAGGGATTTATTAACAATCATGAAAACATTTCATTATTTTAGCCACCAGCTTTTTCATAACTGTGCCTAAAAGGTAAATACGAGCCCTATGTTCATCACTGAAGAGCTAGTGATTTCCCTCCCATGAGCATGTGCCCACATTCTAGTCCAGCTCTCAGATGATTACTATTCCAGTTGCCTGTGCCTTCCTTTGTATATCTTTGTCCCTTTTGTGCAGCCACCATGGAGCACACCACAGGTACTCAACATGAATTCATGAAGATCTCGTCTCGGAACAAGGAACACATGCTGCCTCCTGGAGCCTTCCTTTCAGGGTTCCTGCTGTGTCACAGGGACCTGTTAGTCAGGTAGCGGAGTGGTCCTGAACCCCTGGTTGTCCTTCTGGTTATGCTCCCAGTGACCCCAACCCCAGAGCTTAGGAGCAATCAAGCTCCCCATGTCTTACAGCGTTTACCAGTCAAGAGCGTATCCTCCTACTTCATTATATTACACTTTTCATGTCTCCTTTTTACCATATATTAGCAACACGTTTTGAGTGGGGCAGTACATGAAAGTAGTTTGTGTATATTTCTACCTAGGGCATTGCACGTAATACCATTTACCAATATTTCTTCATTATTCTTTTGGACCTTTGAACAGCCTTTGTAAAGATACATATATGCGCTATCATAAAACATCTGGAATATTTCTTTTTTACATCCCCAAATTCTATGAAGTTTTGAGAATAGAAGATTTCTACATTATCTTCAATTGTCACTGTAGACTTTTTAGGAATGATACTTCTTTTTTTATACGTAGCTCTTGTAAAGAAAAAAACCCCTTTATTTAGTATGTTCCAGTTGCAACCAATTGTCTGCATTTCACTGGAATGTCTTCTCTATCATTTCTATTTGTGGATGTAGACGAAGTGACATTTATTATTTACTGCTGAGATCTTTGCCAGGTACTTCACATGTTACCTCATTTAATCTAAACTGTCTCTAAGTGCTGTGCTTATTCTTGACGTTAATTTAGAGGAAAGGAAGATAAGCGTCGGAAAACTAATCTTCCCAGGCTCACATAAATGGTGGCCTCATAGTTTCAACACAGATTGTGTCTCCAAAGCCCTTGGTTGTTTTTATTGTAGCACATGAAGTCCATTTAAACCATACTTACAACAAGTCAAGTGATATAAATAAGCATGTTTTCAAAACTATGAAGCACTTGTCACACGTGTAATCTCTACTGTATATTTCATTGTCCTTAATATCTAAGATTAATAAATTGGTATACAGCAAGGGCTGTCAGTGGTAACGGTTATAATGAAACTTAAAAATTAGGTGAAATGATGCCAATGATCTGCTGGAGAATGAAAAATCTATCCTTAACCCTTTGCTTTTAAAGTCATGGTATCTAAATGAGCCATATTTCTTAGCAAAAAGTTATTAAATATGAACATGTAATGGTAAAATCATTTCACAGAACCTAATAGTGTTATCATCTAAAATTAGAAATAAAATCTCTTGTAGCATTTACCCTTGAGTAGTATCTGACATGAAATCGCGAGGGCTCCTTGGAGCTCAGAGTTATGTTGTGGTTACCCCTCCCCAGGTCTTCCAGATCGCCTATGTGATCGTGAAAGCGGCTAACTCCCCTCGGCCGGGAAACTGGATTTTGGAGCGCTCGCTGGATGACGTTGAGTACAAGCCCTGGCAGTATCACGCTGTGACGGACACCGAGTGCCTGAGCCGCTACAACATTTACCCCCGCACTGGCCCTCCATCCTACGCCAAGGACGACGAGGTCATCTGCACTTCCTTTTATTCCAAGATCCACCCGTTAGAAAACGGAGAGGTAAGATGAGAAAACTCACCATTGAAGTACATTTCATATGGCAAAATAGGCCTGTCAGAAAGAGAGAGCATATCAGTAATTAATGTCAGGGAGATTTAAAAATGGGATTTAGCAGAAGTACATTTAAATGAGTTATTAAATGAAAAGAAAAACCCGTAGTGATTAGAATGTTAACTACCTTCATATGTCTCCTATCTGCAATGAAGATCAGAGAAGGGGAAATGGGTTTAAGTTGGAAAGTCGGTGATTAATTTTACATACACAGAGATTTTCCTGACAATGAGGATTGCTATGATTAAAGGGGACTGGAGCCCTTGAAGAAACCTGTACATTTGTGTGTACATTGCTCTCAAGAAGGAGACGAGAGGGGAATTTGTGAGGGCATATAATCTACATGAAAGGACCAAAGAAAAAGACACTCTGTCAGGCGTGGATGTTTCTACCGTCATGCAGAGGACTGTGTAGGATTTTGGGCCCCTGTTGGGACCTTCCAGAATAGTAATGTCTGAGGTTTCTTAGGTCCTCAGCTATATACAAGCCAAACCATATGTGCAATCCAAAAGTGTTCTATTACCCTGTTGTGTTTTTATCCTGTAGTTAAGATTTTAGATGTATTCGTTAGTTTAAAACCACAGATCCAAACCATGACTTCCTTGTTAATATCTCTATGTTTTTGATCAAATTATTTAAATTCTCTATGGCCTGGCTTCATCCTCCATAAATTGGATTAAAACTGTTCATTCTCTTATATGATTGTCAGGATGAACACATAAATGATATTTACAGGATTAATGCTGATGTCTCCCCTAAGTACTCTCTAAGCATTAACTATTTTCATTATTATTATTTCTGTTATAATAACAGTAACTACCATATTTATTTGTCTCTTCTTAAATAGCCAAATCTTTTTTTTGGTACCGGGGATTGAACTTGGGACCTTGCGCTTGCAAAGCAGGGGGTGGAACCACTGAGCTAAATCCCCTGCCCAAATATCCAAATCTTGATTTATTGATTCTTGAGTTCTCTGATACCTCTTATTAAACCTTCCTAACATGCTTGTCTTACCTCCTTTCATCTTACCTACTTAAACACATATTCCTCAGCTAACCATGTGGTTATGTCTGAGCTAACCTATCATAAATGGAAGAAATCATATTTGAAAGTGTATTTAATGTACCTAGACTTCTGAACATTGTGGCTTAGCCTAGTCTGCCTTCACATGCTCACAACACTTACTTTAGTCCACTTTGGGACAAAATTAATGCACAGCCATTTATACTGAAGTGATGTATAACTGATGTGGTTTATTGAGTGGTGGATTAAAAGTGAAAACAGAAGGTGATGTGGGTAGAGGAGACACAGATGAGCACCTTGTGGACGTCGTGAGATGTGACGACCCAGACAGGCACAAAGACTGACAGCACAGAACACTGTCGTGTCCACTCTCACGCGATCCTGTGGCCAACTGGGTCAGTACTCACTGCCATTTTAAAACAAAAAAATATATATATAAGTTGAACCCTCATGAGTCAGGGACTGTCTGTATTCGTGGGTGATATTCTCTAGCCCAACATCCGAAGCTAATCCCATCATTTCCTTTTCTGTGGGGCTGTAGATTGAACCTAAGTCATTTGCAATGAGCTACATCCCTGGCCCCATTTTTTGATTTTTGAGATAGGGCATCACTAAGTCGCCAGGTTGCTCATCCTGGACTTGAGCTTGCTCTTCTCCTGCTTCAGCCTCGCAGAGAGCTGAGAGTACAGGAGGCTCCAACATGTCAGGCTTCGTATCACCTTTCACAGTCACGCTTCCAGGAAGCCCACGTTCACGTTCCTCACCCCCAGTCAATATGGAGAGAAGCTGTAAACATTTCTGGTGGAAAGTTAGGTTTTTGACATAAATCTATCAGACTCCCTCTTGGCAACGTTATTGTGTGAATGTTTAGCAAGATGCCTCACTCTTATTTCTAAATTCCATGCTCAGAAATACCATTTTTGGGGAAAAACATTCCAAATGGTGCTCTCAGCAAGAGATCTCAATCTGCCAAGTCACATGGAGTCAAATGCAGAAAGTCAAACAGCTGTTCCATCTGCTCTAACCAGAGACGGCCGACTCCTGGCCAGAGGACACAGCAGTGGGGCATGCAGAGAGAATATTTGTGTGTACATGATTTTTAATTATTGTTCTCCAGGGTCTAATGTTTACCCAGAATTAGTAATTATATTTAAAGCTATTGTTTACCATTTGAAACATGCCTCCATTCAGAAATTGGTTGAGGCATATAAAATATCCTGAGGTAGAAATGCGGTGTTCAGGTTGGTGCAAATCCCCAGGCATGAGTTGTGTTCCTTTTATTAATGGTGGTTTTCCTTCCTCTGGATGTGTCCGCCTGCCAGCATGGGACAGACAGATGTACACATTTGCTGCTTATTTACTGGACTGTCTTCTTTTCATTCCTTCACAACACTCACCAGGAACCACTCAGTGAGGGCGACTATTAAGAAAAACTCCATTTTTGTCTGTGACAGATTCCTGAAATCTGTTTCTTATAGCACAGATGCTGAAGTAAGGAACAGAGAGTAATTCAAAATATTTTCTATAGAATGACAGAATTTAAGAATAATTCAAGCTTCTCCTTTTGACTATCATTTTATATAGTTCACCTTTTTAGAATAAACAGGCCCTCTTAGGGAGGGCAGGAGATACTACCTGAGACTATCAGTTCACCTGGTAACAGCTGAAAGGAGAATCCAGGTTTCCTGATTGGCTGGCAAATGTCTGTTTCATACTCTGGTGGAGACTAGAACTAGATTTAAGAAAACACAATGTTGATAATTGCTAAACTTAGTGGTTTAGCACAGAAATGCAGACTGTCCCTGGGTCCAGTATACACAGAGTTCTATTCTGAGGTTTCATCTTAGAGAAAAAAATAAATGAGTGAAGACCGTGATTCTTAACCTGGTTCCAGTTCGTTGTGGGGACCTTAAATGGGCCACTTAATCTCTCTGAAATTGAACATCTTTAGTAGCTTTGTTTAATGTATGATTTGTTTTAGGGCATCTTTGTGTTCTAAAGTAATACAGTTTTGGCTACCTTATAACATTTGAGGATATTCTAGAAGTTTTGTATGCTCATTCTCAATAAGTGGTTGTCTCATTCATTAGTTTTTGGGATTTTTCTTTGTTTGATTTCAGTACTGGAAATTGAACCCAGAGCCTTTTTTTTTTGAAGCAGGGTTTTGCTAAGTTTCTAAGTTTCCCAGGCTAGGATTGACTTGCAGTCCTGCTGTTTCAGCCTCCCACGGTGCTGGGATTACAGGAGGTGTGTGCCACCATGCCCAGCTTCCTTTTAAAATTATGTACTCTTTGATGAATCCTGACATACAATTATTAGATGTTAATGTTCAAAACTTTCCAGAAAAATGGCAATAAAATACAACAAAGAAATATACAATCTAGTAAATAAAACATGATAGTAGATGTAAGGACTAGGAATGATAAATCACCCTCTCCCTACAATGAGTGGAAGAGGTCACAGTGAGATGAGGATTTCTCCTCCGGGGGAACCAGGGACAACTTGGTATTTCAAAAGGTTGAAGGCCGATTTGTCCAATAATTAAATTCATTCATTTCCCATAATATTTGTATGTTAAAGTATACATCGCTGAATTCAGCTCCATTTTTGAAGTATATTGTCATTAGCAATGAATTTTAAGATTGCAGTTATTTTGTTTTGTGATATTTTGTTGTTTTTTTCTGATTTCCTTTGTGTAGAGAACATAGCTATCAAATTACTGTCTCTGGAGCACTTTTTCTGTGATTTTCTTAAAGTTTTTATCTTTGTGTTTAAGTAGTGTTACTACGATCTTCCAAATATGCATTGCACAGTACACCAGCCACCAGCCGTATGTGTTTTAATTTACATTTCAGTGAATTCGAATCATGTGAAAACTCAGTTCCACAGTTGACTGGGCACATTCCAAGTGCTGTTGGCCACGCGTGACTGGGACTTCCACACTGATGGTGCAGAACACAACAGGGCCATCAGTACAGGGTTCTGTCAGGCAATCAGGCTTCCGGGCACAACCTTTTACTTTCTGGCTTGGGTTTCACGTGGTTTGATACATCTGCGGAGTGATGTCTTGTAATTTCATGAAATAATTCAACCAGCAGCACCCTAAATATTGCTTCTCCTCTATCCTCTTTTCCTCTACAATTATAGTTAAAAATAATTTGGAACTTCTTTTTGTGAACATTATGTATCCTACACTTACTTTGTAGTTTCTATCCTTTTGTATTTCTGTATGTTAATTCTAGATTTTTCTTCTGGTATACTTCTAGTGCATTAATTTTCTCCTCAAGTGTGTAAAAATATATTCAAATAATCCACAATATTCTAATTTTATGTATTATATTCTTCAGCTTCTAAATTTGTACATTTTCATATACATGTCTAGATTTTCTATTATACTGAAATCATGTGTATTAAATTTTTAATTTAATATAATTTATATTAAAATTTTCAATATTTTATTTTTATCTTCTTGGGCATAAAATAACAATAATGTAAGTGATTTTGTTTGATGGTTCTAATACCTGACCTTTATAGCTATATGTGTTTGGCTGTTTCATTTGCTGACTCTTATTTGTCTTATGTCTTCTTATGCCTAATTACTTTGTATAACAGGAGTTGTATTTCAAAAAGTGTGTGTGGAAATAATTGAAGGGCTAGGATATTATTTTCATGTTGTGAAGGTCTTCTGATGCTTCTTCTACCTCATGGCAATCTGCAAACTCTTAAAACAATTTAAAGATTTAAATTTCTGGCACACTCAGCCCATTCCAAGCTGTCTTATAACCCAGTGGCAGCTGCTTTAATTCCACTTTTCTCACTCCTATGCTGCCTGTCTTTGGAGTCCAAGCCAACATGTGTGGAATTTACCAAAGTTCCATCCCTAAAAGCCCTGGAACCCAACTCTTGTCCTCTAAATACAGCAAAGA